CCCCCCCCGAATTGTGCCGTTGTCCCAGAAGGACAGGCAGCCACATGTCCACCAGGCTGGGTCCCATAAGCCTGTTGGGCTCGTGTTGCGAGCAAGGGTGACCTGGGTGTGTGAAGCCACAGAGCTCCGGGCAACTTCTCCAGCACCATCTGCCTGTCTCAGAGGATTAACTGGCTTCAGAAATAGCCCGTGGTCTCGTGCATTCGTTGGAGCTTGGGAACACCAGCACAGGGTTAATATTCACGGGACGTGCGGAGGCGGGGAGAATGAATAGACTCGCAAGATGTGGTCAGAGGATCACCAGATGGCAGGGGACCAAGACACGACAGGAGCAGAGATAGCCAAGTGGTGGGTTGCGGAGGGCCAAAAGGATTGCCTTGGCAGACACACATAGATCTAACTCTTGTCACCAAAGGAAGACGTCACAGCTGCACCCTGCTTCCTCCTGCACCCTGCTTCCTCCTGCACCCTGCTTCCTCCTGCACCCTGCTTCCTCCTGCACCCTGCTTCCTCCTGCACGGGACTGGTGGCCCGGAGGTCCTGGGCAAGGGCAGGCTTCACCCCAGGCCAGAACAGGCATTCCTTGTCATTTGTCACGCTCTGCTGGCTGGATCATGGGGCAAGCTCCCGCCTAACGCTCCCAGTTCTAGGCCCATAGAGAGCGTGGGCTGCAAGGGCCCGGGCTGTCAGAATTTAGTGTGAAGGAAGGAAAGGAAGTTTGGAGACCACGCGTTTCTCTTTTAAAATCCGAGACACCGACGTGTCAAGTAGAAATTAGAGCCATGGCGACGTCTGGGTGTTCACACACCTGACCACGTCTAGAGGTGGCAGGCAACACTTTTCCACCGCCCAGGTGCGCCCTCATTCCCTGGGCGTCTTAGGGGCTCAGAGAGCATCTGGGGGACAACGGGAGGGCCCGATCCTGCCTTTGTGTAAGAAACATCGTGAACGTTTCTTCCTCCCAAATCACACGAAAAATGTCGGCCCCAGAATTTTAAAAAGAGGAGGGTAACACCACCGGTGACTGTTTTATCCCAAACGCCTGCCCCTGGGGCAGACAACAGTTTGGTGGCAGGTCGACTGTGTGGCCAAACGCAATGTCCACAGGACGGGCCTGCGCCCACCTTCTCCCCCGTCCCTCAGCGGGGCTGCCGGGCCCAGCAGCTTTGGCCTCCTGTCCTGCGTGGCAAAGGGCCGAGTCCCCTCCCTCCCTGGGCGGTGGAGAAAGGTGTGTGAACACCCAGACTTCGCCATGGTTCTAATTTCCACTTGACACATTGGTGTCTCGAATTTTAAGAGAAACACGTGGACTCCAAACTTCCTTTCCTCCCTTCACATGAAATACTGACGGCCTGGGGCCCCCGCAGTCCACGCTCTCTATGGGCCTAGAACTGGGCGTGTTAGGCGGGAGCTTGTCCCACGTTCCCCCCCAGCGGAGTGTGACAAATGACAAGGAATGCCTGCTCTGGCCTGGGGTGAAGCCTGCCCTCGCCCAGGGCCTCCGGGCCACCAGCCCCGTGCAGGAGGAAGCAGCGTGCAGGCTCGTTTTAGGCAGATGGCCCAGGGCGGCAAGGACACGGAGGCCGTTGGGCTGAGGCTTGCTTGGCGCGGCCAGGGGAGGGAGGCTGCTCCCGGCAGAAGAGAAGCCCAGGACATGCATGACAGAGGACTTGAGGGGTGGCCGGGCACGGGTGACCAGTGCCTGGCTGGGTCTGCCCGGCCTCGGACACGGGCGTGTGTCGGCAAGACTTGCGGTTGGGAAGCCGGGACTGGGAGAGACCAACAGGGCCTGCGTTTTGCAGATGAGAAGCAAAGTGAGTGTGGAGAAGCAAAGCCCCTTGCCCCTCACTGCCGCCTCCTTGGAGGTCCTCACCTCTGGGAACCCTTGTAAGGCGGGTTTAGGGTGGTTTGTGGTCACAGGCGCCGGCTCCTTCTTGGTGGCCTGGCGGCAGCACCCCCCCCCCAGCAAGAGCCCCCGTTCCTGGTGGCTGAGCGTCCACTGGGGCTCCGGTGCCTGCTCCCCACCTCCCTCCGGAGCCTGTCCGGCTCTCGTGGCCTCTGGCTTCTGCTGCCCAGTAGCGGTGCCGGCTGCGGTTTCCGCACCTTCTATGTGCCACGGGGGAGCCCATGGGCTTGGAGAAATCCATCTCTCCGAGCACGGTTTCACGAGAGCTCAGTGAGCTCATTTGCACAGAATTAAAACAAAACTGCAGGCAACTTTGGCTTGGCTGGCTAGAGTGTGCCATCGAGGTGAAGGGGCCTCTGTGACTCGGGGACAAGGGCTGCCCTGGAAACCCAGACCTGTGTGCGACCTCGGGCAGGTGTTAGGGGACTGTCTCTGCACTGCTCTGCTGAGTGGGAGTGAAGCAGCCCCCCAGGGTGCAGAAAAGCCACAAAGCACAGGCTCAGCTGTCCCTTGTCCCTGCCTGGCTTACCCGCCAGCCGGTCCCACCATTCTCTTGTGGTTTCAACCCCAGCTTTGGTACTTAATAGCTGTGTGACTGTGAGTAACTGTCTTAACCTCTCTGAGCCTCAACTCCTTCACCTGTAAAAGGGGTATGATGATCCTTCCTTCAGAAGGCTCCTGTGAAGGCTCAGGGCCCCGCATTGCAGGTGCTTAAAATCATGCCCCTTCTCCTTGCTGTCTTTAAACGCTGGCCCTTCTGTGCCCCCTCCTGCTGTCTGTCATGTCCCTGTCTGGGGCGCTGCACCTCCATGGGTGCCCCAGCGCCCTGACAGCTGGTCCTGGTCACTCCTGCAGCAGCCACTGACTCCCTGTGGCTCAGCCTGCAGCACACGCTGGTGGTGACAGACAGTCTCTTAAATCCAAGTGTCTTTTCTGCAAAAATTTAAAAAACAAATGTTTCTTTATGTGGCTGTTCAGTTGCAGTTGCCAGTTCCACGGGGCATGTGAGGCGCACACGGCCTGGAGTGGGAGGTTCCTCGGGTTCGGAAGATGCCGTGACCTGGTTAACCTGCCTGGCAGGGGACAGGTAAGTCCCTGGATGGGGTCTTTGGAGGGCGGGGGTCAACAGGTGGGTGGGGGTGCAGGACTGCTTGTCTCCCCAGCGCCCAGGGTCCCTGCAGGGCTTCCCTCCTCCCGCTGCTGCCTCCGGTGGCTGCTCAGCTCTGGGTCCCCGAGTGGCTATGTGGCCGCCTCGTCTCGATGGGCCTTCCCTGGTGGAGGCCGTCGAGGACGGAACTACACTCGGAATCTCCTTTGGCGATTCTAGCGCTGAGACTCCGTTGAGGCAGGGAGGGTGGCCAAGCAGGGCTCTACCCAAGGCCTGGGCTCCGTCCCAGCTCACCGCTCTCCTGGGGGTGGCTTGGGGCCTGCTGCTTAAACTCTCCCTTTCTTTTGCGTGTCCGTGAGGTCAGTGGCTGTGGGGGGGAGGGAGGTGCCACACGAGGCCGTTGCCTGCATGCTGGGGTTGGCTTGCTGGCAGCATCCTCTGCGGGGAGAGGTGCCTGGGGGACTCAGGTGCCGGGGCCTGGGGTCAACTCCCACCAAGCCACAGACACGCTGAGGGCCGAGGGGGTGGTCCTCTTCCTCAAGGCTCACAGAGGGGAGCAGAGGGCTTGCCCCCGCCCGAGGGGCTGTGTCCCCAGGAGGCTCCACGTTCTGCAGTCCTGGAGGCCGGGCCTGACCCCAGCCTTGCAGCATTCATGGGGTGGCTGATGGAGAACAGGGTCCCCTCTGTCCGCCACAGCCCCTGGGCCACCACAACCTTGACTTAGTTCAGACAGCACTTTGTGACACCCCTCCCCACTCAGGCAAACCCCTGCAGTTTGGGGATTTCCTACTTATCTTTTGGTTTTATGGCCATTTGCTGAAATGGCTCTCATTGTGACCTGTGTGTTTATCTGTGGAGGGAAATTGTACATTGACCGAGACGTCCAGATCTCTCTCTGTCACACACACACACACACACACACACACACACACACACACACACACGCACACACGCACACACACACACACACACACGCACAGAACTCAGCTACTCCAGTCCTCGGCTGCCTCTCTCGGCTGGGCCTGTCACCCCACTCCGGGTTGTGAGTCACAGGCCGAGGAGAACCGCTGCTGCCCCCACTCTGGCAGCCCATGGGTCTGTTGGGGGGCCCTCAGGGGCTTTGTGGGGTCCGGGGGCCCTGGCTGAGGAGAGGGGACTAGGGTGGGAGCTCGTTCCTCCAGCCAGGTTCCTCATGTCCACCTCACCTTTCTGCCTTGTCTACTGGGCTCTTCGTGGGTTTTCATTTGAAGGAATAATTCCACTGCTAAAAACCATCGGCAGATTCCCGGCCCACCTCACAGAGCACCAAGGCGCACAGGGCGTGTATATTGAGCACCTGCGTCTCCGCAACCAGTGGTGCAGGCGGGGGCGGGGGGCGAGTCTGGACTCGGAGGCTGGGGGGGCAGGGGCTGTCCTTGTGGGGGTGGTGGAGGGGCCAGGAGCAGTGCACGTTCCTCTGTGGGATGCTTCATAGGGCGGATAGGACTGTCTCCCCTCCTTATGCCAGCTCACCTGTGGTCCACCCACCTGTCCGCCAGGCCAGTCACCATCCAGGCAGCCCTCATTGTCCAGGGCGACCTCCAGCCCCACCCACTGTGCCTGGTGGCTGTGAGCTTGACCGGGGCGAGTGGCAGGTGTGGTTAGCTGCATGACCGGGTTAACTGCAGCCTCTGAGGAGAAGCTGGGCACAGACCTGGACACCGTGGTGGGACCCACTGCCCGGCCCAACCAGGCCCGATGAAGGGACCCCGGATGAGACAGTCCAGGCCTGCAGGTGACCGGGGGAGACCTCAGGGTGGGGCTGCCCAGGGTAACAGGGCTCTCTTGTGGGAGCGGGTCATGTGTGGACACCCAGGCAGGCCGGGAGGGCAGGGCCGGGCTCGGGCCACCAGGGGCAAGGCCTGGCCCCACCCTGGCTGCTGGCAGAGGCCAGGGGCAGAGTCAGGTCGAGGGGCGACCGGATGTCTGGGCTGGGGAGGAATCTGCAGTCACGTGGGCACGCTCCCACCTCACGGCCTTGCACCCTCCAGCTGGAACTGTCTTTCTGCAGATCTCCCCACGGTGGACTCCGGATTTTACTCAAATCTCACATCTTTAGGAGGTCCATGTTGACCTACCTGCCTAATGCACAACCTGCTCCCAGTCCCCACCCCCAGTATTCATTTTCCCCATAGTGTCTGTGACCTTTAGCCTCCTGTATAACTAATATATGTACCAAGCTTCTCAGCGATTATCTCTCTCCCTCTTCTAGAATGTGATCCTCACTCAGTGTCTGATCCATGGACAAACGAGGGAGTTCTGGGCCCCAAGCTGGCTGCAGGGGTGGGGGCCGCCCCCACCTCCCACAGGGAAGGAAATTATACGTCAGTGCTGGAAATACCTGTGTCAAAGGAATGGGAACGGCAAACCTTCCAGTCACATTTTATTTGTTCTGGGACCATGAAAAAAAGGCCAAGAGGGAAAAGCCCCACGGCTTTGCGGAAGTGATGTGTCTCCCGCCTTCCCTTCTGCGTCCAGGATACCTGGAGGCTGGCACCGTCACTATCCCCATTTCAGAGATGAGGAAACCGAAGCTCGGGAAAGTTACGCCACTCGCCCCGGGACTCTGGCTTCTGGGGAGGTCGCTGCTCAGGCTCCTGGCTCCAGGCATCTCCGCCGGTTCCCCTGCTCTGCTGCCCCATCACCCATCAGTGCTGCTTCCCCATCCAGAAAGCTCGGGGAGCCCAGCCCTGGGAAAATGACACGATCTTCCCCCTGGGTGCAGCTGGCTCTTGTCCCTATTGGTTAACTGTCTCTGGGAGGGACAGCAGGCGGAGGGGAGGCGGGATGTGAGCCGGCGAGACGGGGGGCCACCCCCAGGGCTGTGTGCACAGTGCCAGCACCCAGCACCCTTGGCTGGTACCTGGCACCTCGGGCCGCATCCGGCTGGTGCAGAAAGTGAATAATGAGGACGAGACCTTCAATTTAGTTACATGTTGGTGGCGCTGATGAAATCTTCTGTTCCTTCTCTCATTTGTTCCTTTGACTCATACAGAAACCTTTAGTTAGAAGACGAATGGATGAACAAACGATGGGGTCAGGAAAGGGTGTGAAGAGACCATTTAATAATTTCATTTGTCTCTGCTCTCCTGACTCCTGCCTGTCATGGTAGAAAACTGTAGAAATGGAAAATAAGCCATTTATAAGAGCCATGAGGGAAAAGCTGCAAGAGAAAAGCAAGTGGGCTATAAGGAGGTTCAGCTCTGGACCCAAACTGCATTTGGGATTGACTTTGGTTTCAAGGAATTTGAGAAATTTGAATAGGGTCATTGTTTTCTCCCCTAAAACGAGTACCACTAAGTCAGATGACAATGTATAATGTGTCCTCATGAAAGGAAGCTTATTAATGAAAACCCAATATATTTATTGCTTCAGACCTCCATGTTTTGGGTTGATCAAGGAGCACCAGGCTTGCTTTCTCGCTCTGGCAGCAAATCTCTAACAGTTTCCTGAGACAGGTGAGTAGTAAACTGGTTTGGTGCCTTGAATGTCCGACGCTGTCTCCACCCTGCCTGCGCCCTCAGTGGGCAGTCTGGCTCGGCACAGAGTTCTGGTTTGGAAATCATTTCTCCCCAGATTTTTGCTTCATTGTATTCTAGCGTTGGGTTAGTCTGGCTCCTGATCCTTTGCACGAGACCTAATTTTACCTCTTTTGCATCTTGCAGGACTTCTTTTTATCCTTGATGTGCTCACATTTTACGGTGATCATCTCAGGGAGGGCATCTTCTCATCCATGGGATTGGGCACTCTTTGGGGCCTTCAGTTCCCAGAAATTTTCTTAATTGTACCTCAGTGCTTTCTGTTCCTGTGTTTCCTTGTTTTCTCTCTCTCTGGAGCTCTGTTTTCATATGTTGAATGTCTTGAACTAATCTTTCATTTTTTGCTCTATTTTCTGTTTTATCTTCCAGCTTTTCTAATGAGCTTTCCTTTTATGATATTACATTTTTTCTAACTGCCCTTTTTTGTTCTCTAAGTATTTCTCTTTTTGAGAAGAGTATTATTTCGTGGATGCCACATATCTTATTGTCCATCTGAGGCTATTTATCATAGTTTCCCGTTTTGAAGTTTTCTTCTGTACGCGTTATTTCCGTTTCTGTCAATTCGCCCCTTTTCTCTGTGCTTTGGTCACTGTCTCTCATGTCAGGGACGTAATTCATTGTAAGAGAATACGGTTGGGCTGTTTCCTCGCGGGACTAACAATATCAGGATCTTCAGGTCTTTCTCTTGGGCTGGTTTGAGTTCACACACAAGAGCCTTTAGTCTTCCTTTGGAGGTGACAGGTTGGCCTAGTGAGAGAAGAGGTCTGGGGTGGGTCGATATTCAGTCTGCAAACCCTCGCTTAACCCTATTTCTGTGTGGTGCCCTGGCCTTGAGACCTGTTCTACCCTCTCCAGAGAATAAACCTACAGTCTTCTGCTGGGGTAGGAAATAGGACTTGAGGATCTAACTGGTTCTTAAGCTAACTTTCAAGTAATTCTGTTCATAGCTCTCCTTTCACCCTCACTTTCAGAAGCGCTGGGTGCCGCTGAGCCTTTTGTGGATTCTGCTGGCTTTTTTCTGGGGGGATCGACCTTGGGCCCAGGCCACAGGCTTCAGAGCGTGCTGAGTTCCCTCTCTAGCTGTGCCCCTTCCCAAGAGCCAAGAAGACACGCCCGCTCAGAGCGTGGACCATGTTCCCTCCTTCTGGAACATACTTCAGGGAAATGAGGCCTTGAAATTCCCTAAATGGTCCCAACCCTGCTCCCAGGAGCTAAGCAGGACTCTTCCTACAGCAGATCCTGCTGGAGTGGCCCGTGTGGCCGGCGTGAGCAGTGGCGGGAGGTCTGGACTGAGCGATGACCAGGCCTTTCAGGTGCAGGATGGGGCAGGGGGAGGGGTGGAGGGAGGGCAGGGCGCTGTTCTTGTGCTGCCCTGCTCTGCTCAGAGCTCAGCCTGGGAAGGACACACATATGATCCTGTATGGTCGGCTTGAATGTGTCCCTCCCAAAAAGATATGTCAAAGTCCTAACCCTGGTACCTCAGCATGTGACCTTATTTGGAACTATGGTCATCGCAGATGTAATTAGTTGAGGTAGATTCACACTGGGGTAAGGCGGGCCTCTCATGCCATATGCCCGGTGTCCTTGTAGGAAGAGGCCATGAGCAGGCAGAGGTACCCGCAGGCACCGTGTGAAGAAGGAGCAGAGATGCAGCTACACGCCCGGGAACGCCAAGGACAGCCGGTCAGCACCAGGCACTCAGACACGCCCCGGAGGAGAGTCCCCCTCACGGCCCTCAGAGGACACCAACCCGCTGACACTTGGTCTTGGGCTTCTGGCCTCCAGAACCGAGAGAGAACAAGCCTCTGTTGTTGCAAAGCCCCCGTGTGTGGCCTTGGTTACAGCGGCCCCAGGAAGCCAACGCACTGGCCCCTCACGTCGTCGAGAATTGTCAAGGTAGAGGATAGAAGGTGTGGTTTTTTCTTTGAATCTTTAAATAAAGGTTGTTATCTTGGTTTAGAATTTTGTTTTAAGCGTCAGGGTAGGTGGGCTTCCCTCCTGCTCCTGCTCCAACCTTGTGAGCGTTGAGGGGGAGCGGGCCCCATGGCCTCCTCCCATTCTAGCTTGGGACTCGCCTTTAGCCTGCTGGCTCAGCCGGGCCCGGCGCTTTGCCGCTGCATGTCCCCTGGATGTCGTTCCTTGAGGGTCTGTGGCAGGATCCCGCCGTCTGGTGGGATCTTCTAGGATGGTGGAAATGTTCTTTATGGGCCCTGTTCAGCGTGGCGGCCCCAGCCACACGTGGTTGTGAGCACTTGCCATGCGGCTAGTGTAATTGAAGGGTACAATTTATGTTTCATTTATTTATTTCTTGAGACAGAGTCTCGCTCTGTTGCCCGGGCTAGAGTGAGTGCCGTGGTGTCAGCCTAGCTCACAGCAACCTCAAACTCCTGGGCTCAAGCGATCCTCCTGCCTCAGCCTCCCAAGTAGCTGGGACTACAGACATGTGCCACCATGCCCGGCTACTTTTTTGTATATATTTTTAGTTGGCCAATTAATTTCTTTCTATTTTTAGTAGAGATGGGGTCTCGCTCTTGCTCAGGCTGGTTTGGAACTCCTGACCTTGAGCCATCCGCCCGCCTCGGCCTCCCAGAGTGCTAGGATGACAGGCGTGAGCCACCGCGCCCGGCCTGAAGTGTAGAATTTATTTAACAAAAATGTAAACTTAGTCCTTGTGGCCAGGGGCTGCCATACTGGGGGGTACAGATCTACACTAAAACCAAACCAAACCAGGTTTTTGGTTTCGATGGATTCAGACAGGGAACTGCAGTTAAGGACTGTGTTGCACCCGCTGTCTTCACCCTAGCATCTCTTATATGTTTTAACATTTATTTCAAAGAGATCTGGGAACTAAACTAGCAACGGTGAGTTTAAACATAAGGTCTGGCTCTGTGTAGTAGCTGAGCCCTGTTTCGTGGCTCTGTGTGCAAGGAGGTAGCTTTTGTGGCCGTCCTTCCCGTCACAGGTGAGGGCTGAGGCAGGTAGGGAGGGCGGAGGGGCCGTCTGTGGTCACAGAGTGAACGGGGGTCTTCGGCCCTCGGCAGGTAGGCTGGAGGCCTCTGGGGACGGCCGGGGCACACCTGCCTCACTCCCGACCGTCCGGGTTGGCCTCCCAGGCCCTGCGGCCACCTGTCTGCTGGAAAACAGATTGGGTTGGTAAAAATATGTGTGTGTGTTCTCACAGAACCTGAGAAAATCACACCTCCACTTTGACAAAAAAGTCTGTTTGTGCGGCTCCAATAATCACTTCGCAGTGATTATTGTGGGATCGCAGGCCATATGTCTGCCAAGCGGCTAGCCGCGGAGACGTCCTACCTCCGTCGCGCCTCGCAAAATACCTTTTTCTAGCAGATCAGCTCCAAAATAAAAAGGAACGAGCCACAGGCTCCTGCTTCCAAACGATGCTCCCGAGGAGAACTGCTCCTGGAGACGGTGGGGGCTTGGAAGCCGGCCTGGCGGGCTCACCTCTCGGCCTGCTTAAGGGCGAAGGCAGCCAGTGGGACTTTTAAAGTTTGGGGGTTGGTCCAGTGCTGGGGAGCGAGGGAAGATGCTGGCGCCCAGAGAGCGTGAAGCAGGCCTGGACTGGATGGGAAAGGGGCTGTCTGCAGAAAGCGGGGCTTGTTGGGGACTTGGTTTCTTGGGGGGACACTCCAGCCCCTGCTGGGGACTGGCCGTCCAACTCTAGCCGGTCGCAGCGCCTAATCCTCACTGCCATCGAGCTCCATTTGTGACGTTCCATCAACTCAGACAGTGAAAGGAGCCACCTGTCCTCAGGACGGAGCGTGAGCAGGTCTCCAGGTATGAAGGGGCCTGCCACTGGGCTCCACTCCTGAGAGGTGGCTCACGAGTTTGACCTTGGAGGTGACCATTGACCCCTGGAAGCTGATGCGCACACAGAAAAATGACAATCCACATTCCGGGAAAGAGTTTTTCTCTCTGCATCCATTGCCCAGAGCCAACTAGCGCTACTCTAGAATGACAGACAGACACCTTTTCCGGCCACGCTGTTTCTGGAATGAACCTGTCTCCCCACAGTTAGCTTTGTGGCCTTAGGTAGATCTAAATGTCTCGTGTCTTGGTTTTCTCACCGGTGGCTCCAAAGGGTAGTGTGAGAAGAGATCAAGTTGAGAAATGCAAATATACTTCAATAAAGTGGTTGACTTTTGTGCCCATTTCAGTTTTATAGTAAAAAAATTACGTTCTGTAAGTAAGCGTGGGTTTTCAGTTTGCTGTGTGCCAAAGCAAGATGCCTTGTCCCCCTCCCCTTTGAGAAGTTCTGACACTCTGGCATGGCCTGAATTCAGCAGCGGCTGGCTGGGAAGATTCCAGACGCTCACCTGCCGCAATTTCCCTCAGCCGGCAAGAGGGGCGTGCTGACAGGGGTGGCCGGCCTCGGCCTCGGTCAAGCAGGCTCTGTGGTCCCGGCCAGCCCTGCCGACCGCGGCGGCGGCATGTCGACACTCGCTTATCTCTGGGGTCCTGCTCAAGCTCCCTGTGTCCCCGGTCCCAGGAGGAGTCTGTGGAGACCAGTGACTTCACGCTTGTCACCACGTCCAGTTTGTGAAGCTGCTGATCATGCAGGAAACACAGAGGATACTCCCCGTGGGGGGCACCGGCCAAGGGGCCCCAGGAGGGAGCCCAGTGTGACGAAGGAGAGACGCAGTTTACTCGGGAGCCTGGAAGAGAGGCTGGCATCCTAATGTCAGGTATGGGTCCCGCGGTCCTGCCTCCAATGTTTTTTCCTCGTATCTTCCTCTGGGGACCCTCCCCCGCCCCCCGCATGCTGTCTGCTCCTCTCCCGCGTACCACTGTCTGCGCAAATGGCAAATGGGTTATTTCTGAACTTGCCCTGTCTCGCCTCCCAGACCCTTAACTGCTCGAGGGTCGTGCCTGTCGGAAACACCTTGTTATCTTCCTCGTGTCCAGCCAAGGGCCTGGCAAGAGGGCGCGTGCTGAAGGCCTGAGCCCTGGGTCCCCGGGTCCCTGGGTCCCCGAGCCAAGCAGTTTCTGACCCCAGCAGGCTGGGGCGCTGCAGAGGCGGCTCCAGCCCTACTTGGCTGCCACTGTAGGGAATCGAAAGCCGGGAGGCCGTGCCCTGGGAGGTCTCGGCAGACGGTGGCTCCCTTCCCTATCTCCTTGGGGTTCAGTGTCTCTGCGCCAGGTGTTACCTCTCCCTGCTGGGCGGTCCCTCATTCCACCACTCCCTCATTGGCACCAGCCTTTCCCAGCCCAGCATCTGTCTCACCTCCCCCTTCCCTTCAGGGCCAGGCTTCTCCCGGGATGTCCACTGGGCCTCATCCCTCCCCCCGTCCCATGAAATGGCTCTGGGTCTCATGTGGCCTGTTGGTGGCCCGCTATTTGCCATATCCAGTGTGTGCTTTTTGGTCTTCGCGGGACTTGCCCCGTTGATGACCCTTCTCAAAGCCCCACTCCCGGCGTCCGAGGACCCTCTCCTATTCCCCTCCTTGTGTGGCAGTGTCCCTCCTGCCCCTTTGTGGGCACCTTGTCCTCCTCTTCCCCTGACCGTCATCGTCCTTTGCTCTGCGCACGCCACGGCACGTCCAGATGTTCTCTTTCCTCCCACCGGTTGTCGACTACCACCCGGAAGCTGACACCCCCAGATCTACAGCTGCAGCTTCAGCCTGTTTCCTGACTTTATTTTTATTTGTGTTTTCTCTGTGTCATCTGTTTATCGTCACAGCACCTCCAACGCGCCTGTCTAAAATAAAAGTAATGGCTTATCATCCAGCATCTCCTGCCTCAGTTGGTGGTGCCACCGTTCACCTGGCCACCCAGGCACGTCACCCTAGACTGCCCGCTTTCCCCAGCCCCCTGCTCAGAGTCCCCCTGGCAGTCAGGTGGGCTGGGCCACACTGGGGCAACAAATGTCCCTGTGGTCTCAGTGGCTTCATATGTCTGGCGTGGGCGGGCTGGCAAGCCTCCTCGCTGCTCACCTCCAGGGAGCCACTCAGGGATCTTGTCTTGCTCCAGCTGTAGCTGTGGCACCTGGAACAGGTGACTCTGAGCGGGCTGCAGAGGGGAAGACCAGATGAGAGGGCCCTGCAAGCTGTTTATGGGCCAAGCCTGAAAACAAACAGGTTACATCTCTTTTGCCCCCTTCCCCTGGCCAGAACTAAGTCCCCTGGCCCCTGAGTCGACTGTGTGGGAGGCTGGGAAATGTAATGTCCCCGTGCATGGGGAGTGCAAAGGGTCTGATGTGCTCATAGCATTGCTCCTGCCACAGCCCTGGCCCTAGTGAGAGCCCTGTCTGTCGTCTCCTGCCGGACTGAAGAGTCTTCCTGCTTGCAATCTCTGCCCTTCCAGTCGGGCCTCCCCTTGCTCTTGGAATAAGGCACCACAGCTGGACTCGCAGCCTCGCCAGTCTCGTTTCTCACTACCGTCCCCAGCACGGGGAGCCGCAGCACCTTGCCTTTGCCTCCAGGTGTTCTCTCTTCCAGAGCAGGCTCGGATCTGCCTGCGGGAGTCGGCTCCCAGGGCACCGCCGGGGCCCATCTGCTGCAGGCCGAGTCAGGGGCTTCCTCCGCGGGTCTCCAGAGCCCCCCAGGTGCCCTGCGTTAGAACACTCTTCGCACGTTGTTGTCTCTGCTTTTCAGAGAGTCTGACTTCACCCGCTCGACAGAAGGCTAACAGGCTTCCTGTGCGCCAGTCCTGTACCGAGAGCTTTGCACATTTTAAAACTCACTCGATCCTTACCGCACCCATGAGAGTCATTATCGTGATTTCTATTTAAAAACGTAACGGGGAAACTGAGGCACAGAGGTGTTAAGAAACTTGCCCAGGCTCTTGCAGCCAGCAAGTGTTGGAAGCAGGCAGGCTCCAGGCCCACACGTGTCACTGCCGTGCTCCGTGGCCCCTGTGGCCCGGGCTCCTCAGCCACACATCGCTGCCACTCCCGCTCTGCACCCCCGGAACGCTGGCCTGGAGTACGTCCCCGCTCACGGGCTCTCGGACGCACATGTGAGCGAGTTCCACCTTCTAGTTTTCGTCTACTCCCTCCTCCACTACTTCCATCCACCTTTCCCTTAGAAACCTCCCTGCCGCGTTTTCCTTCCCGGTCTGTGTCTGTAACTTGGGAAGCCAGAAAACAAATCCATGAGACTCTCCCTAGACTTTGCGCAAACAAATGACTTGATCTGATCCCTAAAGGTGAGCACCACTCCTCCCAAACAGTCACTCCAGGATGTCATCGCTGTCTAAAATATTTTGGTTGGCTCCTTTGGGAGCTGATTGCAGAGATAGCTCACTGGTTGACACAGGAAAACCGTTTCTGCGACCTTATCTCACCATCTGCAGGGTACGAACAATATCAAAGGGATTCTCCCACGTTTACTAACCAGAAGTGCTTTGCCCAACATGTCTTCCATTTCAATAAGTGCACAGAAACGGCATACTTTAAAATCCCCGTACCCCGCATGGCTGCCAAGACACAGGGGGGCAGACAGGGGCACTGCATTAGTGTCCTGGGGCTTCCCTAGCAGAGGACCCCACACTTGGGGGGCGGGGGGTGGGGGGGGCTGGGACCACAGAAATCTCTGTCCTCAGTCTCGGAGGCTGGAGGTCTGAGATCGAGGTGTGGACGGGGTTGGTTCCTCCGGAGACCTGGCTCTACCCGTGTCTTCACCTGGTCGTCTCTGCACGTGTCTGTGTCCTAATTGCCTCTGCTTAGGTGCACACCGGCCAGATCGCATCAGGGCCCACCCTAGCGACTTCATTTTAACTCAATCACCTGTTTGAAAGGCCTGTCTCCAACTGCAGTCACATTCTGAGGTTCTCGGGGTTACGACTTTCAACATACGAATTCTGGGGGACACGATTCAGCCCCAGACAGGCCCTGATGGAAGCTCCGGCTGTTCCTGCTCTGTGTGCAACTGTTCCGCGACCTTGGCCGTGACCCGGCCTCTCCCTGGGCTTCAGTGTCCTTATCACCAGCGGGGGGGGGGCGGGGGGGGGCAGCCCGGCAAGCCCACCCTGGGCCTTTTACAGCTTAAAAAAAACCCACGATAACCTATAAAAGCATCACTTTAGAAAGATATACTGCTCTTGTGACCTAGGTAACACAGGGCTGTTGGTGTTCAAGGCCCCTAGTCACTGGTGTGCTCTGATGTTTCTCAATATTTGACCACAAACTTTATGATCCCCGTTGTTGTCGGGGAACATTTCTCCTCAGTTTGAAAGTAACAGCAGCATAGTCTCAGCTAGGAACCTCCTCGGCGAAGTGCTGTTGGTCTTTTCCAGAGTGTTTAGTCCCGAGGCGGAAGCTCATGGAAGGAAGGAAGGTGTTTGGTGCTTTTCAATCGAGCGAAGGCATTTTCTTTGCAGGGCAATTCCATGTACAAGCACCATTAAATATCAAAGCCAAAACGGACCAACGAGGGTGCAAGAAAGAGTTAGCAAGGATGCAAAACCCCTCTTCCTGTGGGCACGAAGGCAGGCTGGCTCTGTCACCGCGCTGCTCGGCTAGCCAGGAACCCATCTGCGACCTTGAGCATCCCGGAGTCCCATGGCACGGCCAGCGCCTCAGAAACGAGCCCGGAGCAGGTGCTTCAGCCCTGCCATATGAGCAGTGGCACGGTGGGTGTGCGGCGGCCCCTGCGCTGGCCTCCTGCTTGCCCAGCAGCAGCCGCGCCCGGCCACGTGGGCTTCCTTCCTCGGGGGTGGGAGGGAGAAGGGCAAAGTTGGGGTCTCTCAGCAGGACCTGGGTTCCCTGCCATTGCCATCCCTTAAGTGGGGTGCTTGATTCTCCTCTTCCCTTCTCGAAGCTGTTTTTCAAAGCCAGCTCCACGTACTTGTGCAGACAACCGAACGTTCCAGATTCTTAGCTTCCTTACCCACGAAATTGCAATAGCGACACCCAGGAGGGCAGCTGCCAGGGGTGCACGAGGTGTTGGCTGCACAGAGCTCAGAGCTCAGCACATGGCAGATATTGTATTGTTAACTCGGTTAGAACATCTGTTGATTTGGGTCGGATTGGGTGTGTCTGGACGCTGGGGAGATGTTCCTGTTGGGAATACTGTTTAGCAATTCTTGAGTTCAGCTCGGGCATCTTTGTCATCAGCATGCAGGGTGCTTTTACCTGTCTCCAGCACTGTTGCATGCCTCCCCTCCCCCAGCTGCTCCCGGCCTATGAGATCAGCACCGTTGTTTCCATTTTACATGAGGAATAAATAGACTGAAAAAACAGAAGCCCCCTTGGGTTACCTGTGCAGGGTCATTCAGCTTCTAAGAGGACAAGGAAAGCCCCGAGGACAAGCACAAACTTCCGGTCTGTGCTTCTGTTGTCCGGGGACCAGGCTATTTTATAGTCTCAGTGTTTCACGACTCTCTTGCAAGAGCCCCGTGCCCAGCTCTGCATGCGTCCATACTGAACGCGGGAGGCTTTGCACACTCGTCATAGAAGCTGAGTGGGTTTCAGTTTACCTGGTCACACTGGCTTAGAGTCCATATTGGAGGCACCGTGTGAATATTTCAAGCTAGAGTGATTACTTGGCCTTATTGAGGTATTATCTCTTGACCACATTAGGGAAGCTGTTCATGCAGTATCTGCTTAAAGGAAACATGCATTAAAAACTGAGATGGGCTGTGGCCCAGCAAGGCCAAATCCCATGATGCTCTGTTTGGCATATTGTCAGTAATTGCAAAGGACCAATATCTTCTCTTGCTGTGAGAAACAGTAAATTGACCGAGG